GATACAGTGTTTCATAGGACCCACACAGTGTTCCTTAACACTTTTAGCTGAAGTCTCGTAGGCGTTTGTGTTGTGACGAGAGTGGTATTGATCAGAGGCCTGAGAGGGCAAGGGCGGTTGCGTGGGCGGCCCTGCCAAGCCTCGCGGGCGGGAGTAGGCTTAAGGCGGCGCTCCTGGTCGGCGTCGTCGCTCGGCTGTCACGCTTGAGACGATCGACTTAGATTTTGAGTTTAATTTCCCTATTCCGTGTGGGAAAGTGTGGGCCCGGGAGGGACGGGTATTTCGTTCAGACGCCGGTTTCGTGCCACCCTTTCGGCCGCGCTGCGTCCTCCGACTCCAGCGCGAGGGAGCGAGCCTGGAGGGGAAGCGGCCGGGGCGTTGCAGTGGCGTCCTGATTAGCAACTGCGGTTGTGGGAGATGGGGAGGGTTGATGTCGACGGTGAGTAAGGAGAGGGGGCGATGGCGAGTAAGGGGTGATAATGAGTCAGTTGTGAGTCATCAGCGGCGGATGGGAGTGCCCGCAGACCGCGGATGCGAATCGAGTTGCTTTTGAATGTTTATCGTTTCCAAGGGCAGGTCGAGAGCGCGGCACTTCGAGAGCACTCATGGAGAGCGCGTTTGGAGGGCTCAGTGCCAGCCAGATGCGTCTTGGTGCCATGTGCTTTGTTGTCCTTAATGAAAGCTTGATTACCGGGGAATGGCGGTGTTAATGGCAATAAACCTTAAGGTCGGGTGGGGGAGAGGGGAGGGGGCGTGTCTACGCTATCGAAGACAATCTGGCATCAGTTTACGGCTCATCATGGGACCGGGATGGGAGGGGGGGGGGAGATTTCGCTCTCCTCCTCCCTTCTTCCCCTTCTGACACCCTTTCCCCTCCCCATGCACTCCTGTAGGTGGCTTTATTAACCCAATTATTGATGAAGCCATTATGCGTTATTCGCGTAGGTCAGGTGTGGCGTGTTTAGGCCACACCCGCGAGGCGCCGCTTCTGCCGCCGCCGCCGCCGCGTGGTCTGGCGCGCACGCCAATCGCTCGCTCGCTCGTGACACTGTGTGACTCACGCCGAAAGCCTTCCCACCTGGTGCCACGAGCTGTCAGGGCACCACGTGGCACGCTTTGATTGTCAATAACCTGCCCTATCCCGCCGCGGAGTCTGCTTCAGCTGACACTTGCTGGCAGAGCTGGTGTCACCGTTGTTGTCGTAGTTGAGGTTGTTGCTGTCAGTTGCCGCTGTTGCTCGTGAAAGGCTTTTTTCTCTCTATAATTTCGAGACAGGAGGAGGGAGGGTATATATATATATATATATATATATATATATATAATATATATATATATATATATATATAGAGAGAGAGAGAGAGAGAGAGAGAGAGAGAGAGAGAGAGAGAGAGAGAGAGAGAGAGGGGGGGGGCAGGCAGAGACGGACGGAAGAAGAGGGAAAAGAGAAAGAGTAAAAAGATATAGAGAAAGAAAGGGAGAAGAGAGGACCCCTAGACGCCATATATAGCCCAGGGGTCGGTCCTCCTTACATTATAATTGATAGCGAGTTAAGGATGTTCCAGGCGACACTTTCTTAGCCTCTGCAGCGATCGTTTTCTTTTTCTTTTTTCTTTTCTTTTTTGCGTACCTTCGTGTATGTTTCTCCTCCTCCCCCTTTGGTAATTCGTGTCTGTTTGTCTGCCTGTGTGTGCGCGCGTTTTTTCACGTCCCTGTACCCGAGCGAATTAGTTTTCAAATAGGTTAACCTTACCTTAAACAATAAAAAGTTGGAAAAATGATCTTGCATTGGATTAACTTTACACTAAGAAATGGGCGTTCTTAGCTTCCAAGCCACGTCTGACAGGATAGGGCCGCCATGAGGATGTCGGCACCCACGTTTCCCTCCGCACTGCAAGAAAATCGAACGGAAACAAGGGCGAACGACCTTTCGTGTGTCTTTCGCGGTGTCGCTCTCGCAGGTGTCGGGGTATCGTGTTTCATCGGCACATAATCTGTCATGCTTCATCTGCTTACTCTCTCGTCTGTTTCGCGTGTTTTGCACCGATTTGTAACGTAAGATGCGGTATTTTTATTATCATTATGATCAGTTAACTTTCATGGTATATATTTCCCTGTGTTGTTTTATCTGTTTCGGCGATAATATAAGTATTGGCTGTTTTATCAGGTTTTCTGCTTGGTGCCATTTTCGAATCAGATAGTGCGGGATTCTTGCTTTGATATTTCTCAAATAGCAACGGATTGGTTTCCGATATAAATCATATTACAGGGCGTCTCGCGTGGTAATATAGCTCTAATAGTTTCCGATATAGTTTAAAGATTTTTCTCTTCTTTTTATCTTGTTTATTTCATCATTAGGCAGGTCATGGACGTCCTCTGGAGCACGGCATCGTCCCATAATAGTTATGGACTCTCATGGCATGGTCTCGTCGATGCCCCCGCTCATGGTGTGGTCTTCGCTTTGTTTTTTCTTTTTGGGGTTGCAGAGGCCGCCTGTTGGGAGCTTGGTGTGGCGAAGGGAAAGGGTGCTGAACATTTTGATTGCGTGGTTTAAATTTGCGGATGCGGTTAACGGTTAAGTTGATTTAAGTTCGTGATTTTCGTCAAAACGGCTTTCAGGAATGAACCGTGTTTAACGGTAGGCGAAAATATAGCTCTTCGAAAGCTCATATATCGATGTTCAATGTAAGGACAGGAATTTTAAGATATTAGACCGTATTGGCGGATGAGTCAAGTCAAATCAAATCGAATTTGAGAGAAGGTTGACGCAATGAATCCGGAGACATTTGAGGTCCCAATGTAATCTTTAATAGACGGCCCCAATATGCAGCTTGTGGCCTTTGCTTTCCCGTGATTGGGACCTTCGATACTCCTCTCAGAATATGTCAATGCATTAGATAAAAAGGACACCGTGGACAGGAGGAATAAATCATGAGAGGAGAAGGTTATCGCAGACAAAATACAACGAGGAAAAAGATGGGAAAATATTTGTGAATACGACAAATATTTAGATCTCCTTTCACATCTTGTAAGGTGAAGGCAAGGCCATTGGCGATAGCATTGCAAGATAGACCGAGCTGCACACTCCTTTCCCATTTTAATAATAAAAAGTCTCGTGAATCTCAAAGATTATTGAGTATCATGGAGAGAGGTTCGCGTAAGAAATCGATCGTCACAGCAGGCTGCAAAATACATGACGAGTGGGTTTATGATCAGATGGGAGTTTCGGAATATTTGCTTTACGAATTACTAGGACCAATATAGATCTCCTTAGTTCTACTTATGAATCTGATTTAAGTAGTTGTGAAGGCCTAATGCCTTCCAGTTACTCAGCAGGTGAAGTAGCTGGGATTGCAGCCAAATGACTTTACGAGCTCAGGCGCTGATGATATTACGTTCCTTCAAGTTGACACATTTTAACGAGAAATACGAATAAGGTATTGAATGTCTGGCGATCTCAAAGTATTGGAGTGTCATGTTTGGGAAGGATAAGCGGATTAATTCCAGAGTGCCAAAGTGTTTGTAGGTCGCGCAATGTGAAGGCTGTTGCATGTACATGTTGAACCAGGAGAGACGTGGGTTTAATCCGATATAATGTTTGAGCTGGTTATGAAGAGGGAGGTCGTACGTCTGTACCGTGATAGACTTGGTTCTGATATTATTTTTAGTGAAGTGGCTTCCTGGGCCGGCGAATGTTTATACTGTCTTAGATTCTGGTGCGCTTAGAGTGTTCGATAGTGAATTAAGGAAGGGAGGGAAGGGTTATAGGTAGATAATAGGTTTTTTTTTAATTCGCGTGTGAGATAAGATGAACAGTGAAATTACTGAAAAATGACCACTTGACGTGTGAAGCGCTTATGTTTATTTGCAATTGAAGATTTAAGTTGCGGAGATGTGATAGAAAAAGGTTAGGAATTGTATAGTTCATGTTCATATTGTGCTTGAAGGTCTGCTGAAATTAGATGATTGTTCGGAATGAGGGAAGGAAAAAATTGATAAGATGTAGATAAGGTATTGGTAATTGTAAAGCAGGGACTCAAATGCCAAGAGGTAAGTAATATACGGTAGAGACAGTGAATGAATTGTGGCAGGAGAGTGCAAAAAAGACGGAATCGTGCCACGTACAGAATTTTTATACGAATAATATTTAATAGTAATGTGACTGTGTAGTTCTCACACCTTGTCGAGGCTGTAGTTGGCTTTCTGCTCTGTCATTTGTCATCCTTTTAGAATGAGTAATAGAGGTTAGAAGTGGGAATATGTGATGTGTTGAGGAAGAAGGTTGGTTATGGTCATGTAGTGTAGGATTTTTTTTTTTTTTTATTTTTTTTTCGTCAGTACAGATGTGTAAACATGTGAAAATTAGCCCAGTTTAATTTTATGAAATTGTAGAAGCAATAATATCAAAAGATCAGATTATTGAATATTGAAAAAAATATAAAATAAAAGTTAGAAATAAGATAAAATGTTCATACATGACCCCCCGCCCCCATAGGTACTGTTTGAAATATAACATGACTCGGAATGAGGGAGGAAAAGTGATAAGATGTAGATAAGGTAAGTATTGTATAGTTGCAGATAAATGCCAGTGTATGAGATGTGACAGAATGTTGTGATTTTGTGTGAATGACGTTGAATGTCCTTGGGTTATTTCCTGTATTGTTTTGTTCCATATTGTTTTATTCATATAGGATGTCTGTTTATTTGTTTGGTAAATGGCAGGTAGGTAATGATGGAATGAGTGGATGAGATTTTCCATGGTGTTATATGTAAAATAAAGAAAATGTTCAGAGGAATGCCTATATATAAAACTATTGCTCTACATGATTTGCTTTTAGAATTGAAAAAAAGATGATTTGGATGGAAATGAGATAGAATATTACTACATTGTTTGGTTTGATCTTTCAGCGCTATGCACGTCAGTAAAAATTAAAGTAAAAAAGTTAGCACAAAGATAAGGAAGAGGGAATGTTTCACTAATTTCTGATATGCTTTTTTTTCAGTTTCCTGGACAACCGAGTAGGAGGTTTCTGGAACTGGATGTTCACCCTGAGCAAGGTTCCTGAGTTGGGAGATACCGTATTCATTGTCCTGAGGAAGCAGCCACTGATCTTCCTCCACTGGTACACACCACCCACCATGTTACCGTCCTGCTCTACGCCTGGTACTCCTACTCCGACTACATTGCCACTGCCCGCTGGTTTGTCTGCATGAACTACCTGGTCCACAGCGTCATGTACAGCTACTATGCCCTCAAGGCTCTCAAGTTCCGTGTTCCACGCTGGATCTCCATGGGAATCACCACCGCACAGCTAGCTCAGATGGTCATGGGTGCTGCCGTCAACATCTGGGCCTACCAGGTGAAGCAGGCAGGCAATGAGTGCCATGTCTCCTACGACAACATCAAGATTTCCCTCCTAATGTACATCTCATACTTCGTCCTGTTTGCACACTTCTTCTGCCGTGCCTATGTTGTCAAAAGCGATAAGCAGGTTGGTGTCGCACAGGACAAGAAGGGCTCCTTGGCATATGAAGGCAAAAGCACAAAGGGCAAAGTGGAATAACTACTTGCAGGTTAAGCTTTGGGTTAATAGGATGTCACATTTCAATAGTTGTATGTCTGTCTCACAAAGAAATAGAGGAAAGTGGTCACCCATTGATAATTCCTTTGAATATTTTTTAAAAAGAAGCATTTATGGTAATGTGCAAGAAGTTATTCTCAGACTTTGCCTAGAATACACCTGCTAGAATGTTGCAGTTTGGAAACAAAATATTTGAATGATTGGTTCAGACTAAAGGTATATCAATGCAAGCAGCCAATTTTGAAAGCCACCTTTTAAGATTTACTTATGAACCAGTGAGATGAATATTGTATTGCGAAAATATCCAACATAGAATGCAAAACTTGAATATATTTTTAAAACAGCAGTTAATGATAATAATGATAGATCTACGTGGTGTTATTACAAAGTATGATCTTCTCTTCCCTCCATGCATTTGAGGAATATTTGAAATTTCTTAGAATGCTGATACTGAATATTATCTTTGAATATTGTACTTTCTTTCATAAACTGTCAGGTGTCCATATCTCATAGTATGGGATGTTGTATGCACAAGTAAAGGTATTTACATTTTTCATGAACCTATTGTCTTCTGAAGTTCATGCTCTTACTGCTTCCTGTTCTCATTTGGAATCTGATATTTCTTATTCTAATTGTTGTCAATGTTTTGAGATAAAACATATATTTGGAAAATCCTGCATGCTTTTGATCAGGTGACTGATTGCCCAGAGAGAATCCAAGTCCTGATCTGAAAAAGGATTACTTGATCAGGTTGTGATATGAAGAACAAATTCTTGGGGTCCATAACTCTAGTGTACTCATCATGTTTTCTAATGAAAATATTACATTTTCACATATTTCTTCCCCCTCCCTTCATTTTTTTTTTTCTCATGTAATTTTTCTCCCATGACATGACAAGGGACTTCATTAACACTTCTGCGAAAGTGACAACCCTTTCTTTGCCAAAAACATTCCCCAAATTTCATCTCCTTTCTGTCTTCCTTTGATCTCTCAGATGCATTCCCCTGTCTATATGATTATCTTTGGTTGTTATTTATATATTATGTTGTTATTTCTTGTTTGTATGTTTAATTTGATAATGTCAGAGAGGTATTTGTAGGTGCTGATCAAGGAAGTGTTTGTGGCATACTTCTTATTTTTGAGATGATTTTGTTCTTTTTTTTAATGTCTTTTTAATATTTTTCATCTGCTTTTTAAAAAAATATGTTTATGAGACAATGCCTTTATGTCTCACCTGTTTTTGTACAAGTAATGTATCAACACTAAAAGAAGAACACCTTGTATAATTTTTTTTCTCCTCTTAGAAGGTCACTGGCTTTAAGTATTCTTTGTGTTATGTGTAAAATGGTCATATTCCATTATTCCAGTATTAAACCAGTGTTTTCTCGCATTTCTTTTATTTTCTATGCACTAATGTCTGAGTAAGAGTTGACCGCATTGCTATTTCCTTCACGGAAGATACCTCAATCCTAATTTTATAGTGTCGCATCGAAGTTATGAATGATATTGTAATAAAATGTCATATCATAAACATGTATATATCATATTTAATTAGAGAAAAAAATATTTAAACAAGCAGTCTCAGTACAGATGTCATTAAAAGCTTGAGAAGTAACTGGAGTCCACAAAGGTATGGTAGTCATCCTTCATTATACTGTTACGTATCAGATAAGTCCCTAAAATCAGCTTAGACTTTTGTGAGAAATACTAGAATGACTATTTAGTAAGACTAAGAAGGGTAGAAGATATACAAGATTTTCTAGTAAAGCTTTTTAATGAAATTCTGATATCTGATGGATTCTCTTTGCATCATACTTCTGTTGTTGATTTATATAGGTTTACTTGCAAGAACCTTTGCTTTCTAATGCAATCTTTAAGATGGTGTTAATAAAATTTTGAGGTAACACAGGGTTAAGCTGGCTGCAAATTTGTTATGAGGAAATATTTTTCTAGTAACATATTCTGAATCTGCTATGGTTTTCCCTAGTTGTTCCAATTTATTCAGAATATTGGTAGTTTCTACTTTCCTAATATGCAGAACCTTTATCCAAAGTAGAGTATTTGGTAGCATTGGTATGAATTGATGGTATAAACACAAATATAAGTTCTTTGATTTATCAACTTAATTGACATTGTTTATTGTAGAGGGCTACATTTTCAGAAATTAAGAATTAAAAGATTTGAAATACCTTTGTTGGTGAATATTTATGGATCATTACTGTACTGATATTTTTGGTTGTACTATTTTGGCATTGTATACTGTAATCTTTCCATATATCAGCATAAAAAAAATATTTCTTTAGATTATAACCTTAAACTGCAAAGGTTTAGCATTATAAACTGGAGAACATGTAGTTAAAGGTTGAAAAATAACCAGTGAAATTGGTGGTTTTGAGCTTACAGGATCTCTCTCTCTAAAAAGTTGCATTTACATGTGAAGTCTTGTGACAACAACTTATTCTTCTCATTTTTCTTTCAAACATTCCTTGTTAGTTGGCGTCTGCACAAAATAAGTATATACATTTTGTAAGAAACTTAGACGTGTTAATGTCTTAGTAGTAATATATTTTTTGAACATGGTATTTTTTCAGACCAAACCATATTTGGAAGTCTGAGTAAAAGTTATCACTCTCTTGTGGATTAATAATTATGTGGTGACTTTCAAGTATATGCACAAAGCTTCTTGTCCTGAAATCAAGCTGTCTTCTTGTCAATCAGTTTTGTGAGCAACAAAAGTGGCATAAAAGCAGATAACTGCACACTTTTAATGCTCCATCGTACATGTTTTCACAAAAGTCATGATTTCCCTTGCAATATTTCGGCCTCAGGAGTTGCAGAATAAATATCAGTATGTGGAATATTGCAAATGAAATATGAAATTAACCCCATAAGAGCACTAGTGTTAGTAGATCCTGCTTCCACCCAGCCAAGGGTGATAAGCACTCTCCTTGCCATACTCCAAAGTAGCAGTGATGTTCTCTAGCTCAAAGTGCTGTTTCCACAGATACACAGATGCGTGTGGCTTCCTAGGAGGGTAGTCACAGTTCATTAACTTAATGGTAGATTGCTGATCCATTGCTATTGGTAGGAACCAATGTGTAATTTATAATGTTCTCCTGAGCTGTGCTATAAAAGATAAAAAATAAAAAAAACAAAAAATAGGAAATAAACTGATTTGTAGGAGGTACCATGAAGTTCCAGCACTGTAGTCTCAATTTTTCTACTCCCCTCCCCCTTTTTTTCATTTATATTTAATTCTGAATTCTTCCCTTGTTTACATCATGGTCGAAGAAAAAGCTATTTGTTTCAAGTGTGCCCCCATGAAAATAAACTGCCTTACAAAGTACAAGGCTGGTAAGATGAGCAAGACAAAAGTGTAATTAATATTTAAGCAAAATTAAATTTCCTCTCTGTGAGATTTACTTTGAACCAACTGTCTTGTCATCTTCCCACCCCAAGGCAGCATGTACAAGTGTGATGGGGTCTTGCTAACAGATAGTGTCTTGGAAGAGGAACTTATACAGGAAAATGTCTTACTGCTGTTAACTGTTTAGATCAGATCAAATTACCAAGAACTTGTTAATTATACATATGCTGTATTTGTTAAGGCTCTTGTTCTGTTACCCTTGTTCAGGATCGTTTCCATTTTTTCTTCAGCATAATATGTACAGGATAAATTTATGTTGATTAAATTTTGGCACAATTTTGATAAAGTGTATTGCAGATGTGTATTCCATATATTGTACTTCACTTTTTGTATAAAATATATAGATAGAAAATACTTTGTGCTATTACATAATACCTTTTTGGAAGTTTAGAATTGTAAAAAAGAAAAGTTACACAGTCTTTTTTAAAGGGCAGGATACTAGCAATAACAATGAAATATGATGTCTTGTTCCAGTCCATGTTCATGAGCAATTTTAAATTAAAAAAAAAGCTGACTTTGCAAAATATTTGGAACAGTTGAGCTGCACATCAGTTAGGTATTGATACTTCCACTACTATTGTGTAGGTCACTGTTGCTAGGATTGTATGTATCAACAAGTCCATACTGTTATGCTGTAAATCATACTACTTTTTTGTAAATTCCTGTATTTAGTTGCCCTTCCAAGTTAATGTTTTCATTAACAACTGCCTCCTGCAACCAGGTTGTAAAGCACCAGAGGGTTACTACAATGCCTGCCTGATGGTGTGTGACTGTTAATAAATAAATGGAGGAATGTTCATCTTATTTAATTAACCTGACCCTTTTCCATTAATTCAGGCATATAAAACCATGCATTCTGAACCATATCTTGAATTATATCGGAGTGTTATATGAACTATGGGTCTATAAGAATATACCTAAGGATATGCATTTCCACCATCAAAGAAATGTTAAAAACAAATTAACAAGGTTGAAAAGAGCCAAACTAAAAGTAATATTCATTTTATTTCAAACAATACCTAATTCTTTTAATAAATAGCAGACAAAGGTTTGAGGTTTTCCCTAACATTAGATACACTCTTTAAACTTAAAAATTCAATTTACAGCCCAAAATATTGTCAATAACATCTTAAAATAACATTTATTCTAAACTTGCATACTAGATAATGACTATGGATATACAGCATTTAACACATATATCTGATGTAAATGCATATGAAATGATGATTTGCTGACATGTGGGAACTGAAATGCTTATTTTAACATTATTCAACCATTTATTGCTGCCATCATGGAACTTGAAACATAAAATGTCAATCTAGTTTTCTGTGACTAATATAAATTTTCAATTTAGTTTTCTGTGACTAACAAAAACAGGCAATCTAGTTTTCTATGACTGAACAGGTGGAGGAAAAGTACTGACCTTCCCTTGAAGAAATACATGTAAGTCTACTGGCTATATATACTACTGATTTTTCTTGTTGATTCTTTTCTAATATTCATTACCTTACACTTGCTTCAGTACAGTTTACATATTTCACATGTGGGGCTGAAATCTCTGCTCACTTATGCTAGAATTTTTTGCTTGAATAAAATAGCAATCTACAGAAACAAGTACTATCATACAAATAAAACCTAACTTAGTGTCTGAATATCTTCTTTTATATTCTAAGTATGGTAACCTTCCACAAAATAAATAATTACAAATAAGCTAATCGTACATGACCACATATAAATACACCAAGGCAATATACAGTATTCCCTGTCAAAAACAAATGAGTGGTTTAGCTAGTAATTATAGATACATATAAATAATACTAATTACCTAATGCAGTGAAATATATCATTAATAATAATGGCAAACCATCAGTTTACAGAAGTCAAGTATGATCAAGCAATATAATCTATTTGAGTACAAAGCCATATTCAGTGTTAACATTCGATGAAATTGAGTGAAGCCAAAAATATTGCTTTAAGAACAGTTCAAATTGATATCATTAATATTAAAAAAAGAAGAAGAAGAAAAAAAAAAAAAAAGAATATCAAATTAATATCATGGTCAACATATTTGCAATAAAAATAGCAAAGTGAAAAGCACCACATCAGCAAATAATATATTTAATGAATTCTTTGGTGAGATAAAAATTAAAAGACATACTTGCAAATGGTAAAGTAGCCAAAGGATAATGATGTTTATATAATCTAACATTCACGTACTTTGTGTTTTGGTACAATTTGTTCATGCTGAGATCTTTCACTAAAATACCACTCAAAATACCTATCTCATGATATCTAGCCGACTGCTAACCTTTTCATGGTAAAACACTGTTAAATTAACCAGATGGTTCTTGGTTCTTTGCTGAGCCAACCTACCTTCTTCCTCAGATATGACTAATTTAACTGAACAGCTTTTCAACATCTTCGAACACTTCATCAGGTGAACGAGTGGCATCGATCTTGCGTACAAGATCTTGCTCTTCGTAGTGCTCAATTATAGGCATTGTGGCATTCATGTAGGTGTCAAATCGCTTCTTGAGGGACTCCAGGTTGTCATCTGAGCGCCCAGACCCTGCAGCTCCCCTGTCTAAGCATCGCTGAGTGCACACCTAGAAGGAGGGATTATGAAAGTAGCTGTTGCACTAATTGCAAAGTTTAAACAACAGAACCAATCTGATTGTAGATGAAAAAAATTATGTGCTGTTATATTAAATAGTTAAAAAATAAGGAAATTAACTAACAATGCCAGGAGTGCATGTACACATTCTTATTTTTATTACGATTACCTTATCATGATGATTAAAACAAAAAATAAAACAAAAACAAAAACAAAAAACATCATCATTACAATTATTATGATGAGACAACTAGTATTAGTTACAGAAATATAAACATTTTCCCCCCCAAAATCAAGGAATAGGGTAAACAGGTGAGCTCCAGTAGGCCTAGTAAATGACACCTTGGTAAGTAGCAATTGTGGAGCCATCTATGAGCAAAAATCAATTAAGCAAAACCATTGCATATAACGGGCATAAATTAGTTTATAGAATGGATATCTTGATTTTTTTTCTCTTTTCAAATCCCCTATGTAAATCAAACTAAATCTAAATATAAACCTATCTAATTGTTATAGAATGTAGCAATGGTATTTTGTGCAACACTTCTGTCATCTTAGCAAAAGTATCCACACACACAACTTTCCCAAAGCTAGAATTTTATTCTATCATCCTACTATGCTGTTCAATATCATGTCTAATTTCTCAATTCTTTTCAGCAAATTATCTAACACTTAGTACAGTTGTCCTACTGTAATGAGAAACTGACAATGTTGTAGGAATTTTTTAACACAAATCAACTACTATATATACTCAAGATTTAGAATAAAAGTCAGACAACCATTTCAAAATCCTCCCAGATTTTATCTTTATCTGAAGATTTCAAAGCTGCTGTCTCACTTTTCTATAAATTTAATTTATGTTTAGCTTTCTTCTTCTTAAATCTCAGTATCAACCCAGTAAAAAGTTTTGCCATTCATAATTCAATCAATATCCCTCAATCATTAATACCAACCTTGCAAAATCAAATGTAAACAGATGTTCTAAAATAAACATCCATTCACATATTTAACATACATATCTTACGAATAAGCAGTGTTATATCAATCAAATCTATATCATCTGACACTTACAATGGATGGCTAGAAATATGCCAAACCTTACCTCAAGAGGACAATTGAAGAAAAGGACGAACTTCAGGTTAACTTTCTCTCCCATCTCCTTGTTCCAGCCTTCAAGGTTATTTTGGTTCCGAGGAAATCCATCAATGAGAAAGTCCATTTTACCAGAGTCCTTGAAAATTAAAAGTCCAATTGAGATTGTAAATATAAATAAACGCACATGTAAATAAAGCATAATCATTATTCTTTACCTATTTTTCATTGCTATGACAAAAACAAACAAACAAAAAGCAGAAAATTTTCATATCTTATATCTAAACAATTTTCAACATGACTCAAAAAAAGTCACTATATCATAACAGAAAGAAGGTATTACATCTTTACCTTCATGGCACGTTCTAACAAGGAGCAGGTAATCTCCACAGGCACAATTGTACCATTCTTGATGTGGTTTTCAATTAATTCTCCATACTCACTGCCTGGTTTGGCTCTCTCTTCTCTTAGCAGATCACCTGCAGACAAGTGAATAAAACCAAATTTCTGGAAAAAGAAAAAAGTTGGCTAAGTTAACGATATCTGATCTCTGTAAGCTTGGGCAATTCAATGTTTGGTTTATAATTTCCTTAAACTTGACATTCTATTAGACACTGATTCATGAAGGAGAAAGTAAGATGCAGAGAAAAACAGAACCATACATATCTACACAAATAAGAAGAAAATCATGATGCAATACTTTCCACAAACTAGGATTTTACTTTGTATATGATAGTCTAGGAAAAGAAATACAAATATAAATTATATGTTTACAAATATAAAGAAGAAGAGGAAGAAAAAACATGTAATCTCTTAATAAGGGTGTCAATTCTAATATAATATAAGGAATATTCAATATAAGAGATCACACCTTTAAAATTAGGCATTGAGAAAAAGCTATTTTTGGTGACCTGACATGTCAGTCGAAGGCTACCATCCCCCACCAAAATCTTAACCACTTCCCGCCAGGTAGCATGTACATACATGCCATGGGTGTTGTGGACAAAGTAGTGTGTGGCATCAAACACGACCATTCCCTCATAGTCGGCTCATCAGACAGAGCTTGTTTTTCTCTAATAGTAGCATCATTTCTATGGTAAAACTTTTAGGCAATAGCACCTAAAGTGAAGGTAAACCTTCAAAAATTTGATAATTCTTAAAACTGTATCAGAATACAAGCTTTTAAATACCTAATGGTGCCCGCAAACTACTGAACGAGCTGGGTGCAAACTGGGAAAACTGTCGTTGGCGCCAATAAATCCGCAATCACGTCTACCTTTAAGAATTCCTGGCTGAGTAAAATAAAGAGCCCAATTGCTAAAGAAAAAAGACTAAACAGCCTTTTTTTGTGTTATCTATACTAGAATGAGCCCGTGACAAACAAAATGATGCTGGTTATGCATACAAAGCTCACTACAGTCTTAATATTAGTTTTAGTGACTCAAACTGATAGAGTTCTATTCCAGGCTTGTTCAAACTATCTCTTACCCTTTTCCATTAAATCCATTTCCATTTTCCAAGAAATCAAATGGATCTGACAAGTCAATGCACAACAGCATCATAAGTCAGTCATCTATTCTATCATTAACGACCCTTTCTACATTGTCTATTAACTCAAATGAAGTTCTCTGGCCAAGTGCATTTAACAATCAATATTCATCAAAATTTACATATATTCATTTCCTGACAAGGATTATTCAATAACACCAAAATATAGACTTGGTCATCCTCTATAATCTAAATTCTATATACACTCTTTTACATGCAACATTCAGTTTGTCCAATGGCAGGCTGGGTAACAACAACATAACTAACATAAATGAAGAGGTGGTTGGTAGCTGAATTTCCCTAATTTTAAGCATTATTTTCAAACTTAAGACTGTTCTGTTGTATAATGTTTCATGACCTGCATAGTAATTATTCATTCTAAGAACAGCAAAATACAATACGATTCTGACACAATCCTAATTTTCTATTTTAGAGAGATATAAAAGAAATGGATCCAAAAAGGATCATATTCTACACAAGTATATGCAACAGATAACACACAATAAAATATCCACCTACATCAACTATTTTGGAGCACTGGGTCCCCTTTCCAGCTCCTGGTCCTCCAAGAACAAATACGATATTGTACTTGCTGGCCATGATAAGTGACTGGACCCCACGCAGAATTCGATTCAAAAACATGCAACTGGAATATAAAAAGAGAAGATCAACATATGTAATTTAATTTGGTGAACAAAATAAGTTATTAATGTAGCTAGCTATCATTTCATCTACCATCA